GGTCAAATGTTTCTCTCTTCTAAAACGATTTTAGTTGTTCGGAGAACTCAAATCTCTCCTTCTTCAACCATTTTCTCCGGCGAAATCCCAGAAATCTTCAGGAAATTTATTGTCACAGTCTCCCTCGAGATCCAATCAAGGACCAATCGCATTCTCCACAAATTGACCCACTATAATAATTCACACAGGATTCGAAATCGAGGCGAATCGAAGATAGTGAGAAATTGGGGCAAAGAGGAGAGCTTAGGTACAAAGGTACTCACTCTTTTGCGTCTGATTTCTCATTAGGTATCTCTGAGACTGGTCTCAGTTTTGTATTGCACAGAAGAACATGAATGATTTTGGGTTTGTTATCAGATATCGGAAGATCTAGTTTCTGAAAAAAAGTCATGGGAAAAATGGGAGAAGGATCATGTTCTGAAGAAGATTTGTTTGATTTATTGAATCAGTTCGAGCATATTCTTGAGTCTGACCCTCTCATGTGAGTGTAATGATGTTCTCACTAACTTGTTACTATATTGTTTTTATGCTCTTACATTTGTTCTTTTTATCTCTCTGGATTCAGTGATGAAGTAGGGTTTATTCATCCCTCACAGTTCACTCTGCTGAATAAAGAAGCAGGTTTCTCCAGTGAGGTCCAGCCTGATAACAGAACCTGGAGAAGTTTCTGGAATCAGGATCACAAACTTGGAATATCGACCGATGTACTTATTCGATTATGTAAAGATGCAAAACATGTGTTTCTCACTGCATTTGAGGCGTACAAATGCGATGTAAAAGCATGTAGTGAGTCTTGTTCCATTTGTACTCTTGAGAGCGAAGTCATGAAGCATAGCCAATCTGTTTTAATGTTAAGTTCAGACTTTGGAACTGCATGGAATGCTAGGTATGTAGGAATGTAGTAGTTATATATGGCTTGATTTGTTTCTTAATGTTTTGCTTCTTTATTTGACCTCATCTTGTCTGTGTGTTCTGGAGATAGGAAGTTGATCTTGTCGAAAAAGGATCAACCTTGTGCATTCACGGAAGAACTTCGTCTTTCTCGGCTTATTCTTTCAAATTGTCCAAAGAGTGAGGCAACATGGAGCCACAGGTCGGTCTTCTATGACTTTTCAGTAACTTTAGCTCACTCATCTTTTTCTGTTATACAAATACATCTTTTGTGTCACGATGATTAGTGAAGAAAGAAACTTATTCATTAGAATCAGCATTTCCCTGTCATTTTTATACTTGAGTGATACAAGCACAGTTTCTGATCTTCAGTAGATTTTAGTCATTGGACTGAATAGTTTCTACTTTTTCTTGTCCAACTATTTTCCAAAATCTCATACTATTTTGGGTTTGTTGTAACAGAAGATGGATAATCAAGATGATGGCTCAGAGATTTTCCACACCACAAGAGATTATCACCAAAGAATCTGAGCTAGTGGAAGCAGTAGGCGAGGTTTAGATCAGTTCCAGATTTGATGCTTTATATAATGAAGGTTCATCATATATTTTACGGAAATAAACATTGGTTTTTCCTAGTCTTCACAATTTGGCTGTTATGTATACTACATGGTGCCACTGCAAGTTTTTTCTTGTTGATACTCAAAAGTTTATTGCTCTCTGCAGTTCCTACTAATATGACACACAAGCAGTTATACCTAATCAAATACATGTCTTTTACAGAGATCAAAGATGAACTATCGTGCATGGTATCACCGTTGCTGGTTGGTTTCCTACATGACAATTGAGCAGGTAAAATATTATCTATATTTCTTCAGATTTCCAGATCTTTTGAACATATGGTGTGAACTTCCGGACATTTCAAATAGGTGCCTGAACTTTTGAACATTTATGATTTCATTAAATTAGCTATGTTTGTTATCTGAACTTGCGAAAGTTTCATATGGTGTAAGATACACCATAATTTTTCTCTAATCTGTGATTCAGATTACGTATGTATGTTTTCTGTTCTAGGTGCTACAGGAGTTGAACAAATCTAAAAGGTGGGCAGGGCTTCATGTAGCAGACAGTTCTTGCTTCCATTATCGCAGAGTAAGAGCCGCATATTCTATTGATGTGATTGTGGTAAACCAATAATATACATCGATCTTGAAACAATACGGTCATGAACTTACTGCAAGTTATGTTAGGTCTTGGTAATATAAAGTACAACTAGCATTGTTCATTCAACCTGGTCAAGTGTTCCATACAGCTCACATCCAATTTTTAACGTTAATGTCCAGCGGCTGATGCTCAAGATTCTGGAGCCGCTCAACGTGAAAGGAAGCACTGCTTATGACAAAACTGAGGCACATAAGATCTGGATGGTACACTTTGTTTTCCTTGCTAACTCATCCCTGGTTTGCTGCCATTACGATTTCGCTGGGTAATCTTATTTTTCCATTTGTGCTGAACATGAGAATGGTTCTTGAAACCTCTTTACAATAATGTGACAGGAAGAGCTTGATTGGAACAAAGAATTGGTAGAACGTTACGTGGGACGAGAGGTATGATCATCTTTGATCTTAGAAAAAAAAGTGTAGAGATGAGCACGATATGAAGATGTAGCTCCAATATCTTTATTGTAGTGTTGTAAACGCTGCTAACAGTTTTGTTGTCATGCTACTATGGAGATGACCGAATTAGTGTGACTTACTGGAGTTGTTGTGCTTTTTCTTTCAGGCTTTATGGCTTCATCGGCGCTTCCTCTCTCTTAATTGGATAATGTATTTTGCTTGCAATCATTCAGATGTTCCATCTGAAACCGGACAGAGTATTATTATGAATGAAGAGACTGTCAACTTCATAGACAATGAAATCCTTCTTCTAGAATCTTCTATGACGATTCCGGATACCAAGTTTGAAGATTTTCAAGCTCAAGCACTGCATGCTGCTGCATACATGCTATGGCTGACAAAGGTAGCATTAGCCTCTTCTATTCCAAATAAACTCCACCACAAAAAAACCCCACTATTGTCAATTACATAAGTGCGGGTAATTAGATTGAGAGTTTTCCGTATTGCAGAATGATGCAGATCGGAAATGTGGTGGACTTGAGTTTTTTCTTTTTATATTTTATTTTCTGGGCTATTATCCTGCCAGATCCTATGATGATTGATTGATTTCTTATTCTGATATGTGTTTGTTAATGAGCAGCATATTCCGGAGTTGTGGAGAATGCTCGAGGAGAAGCTTGGAACAGAGAAACTCAAGTGTGTACTAAGCACAATTGCTCAAGAGAGATCTTCACTTTTGCATCATTTGGTGAACCATACGGTTAATCTTGCATAACTCTAGTCTTGGTCGGATAATTTATATCATAACTTTCATTTCCAAAGAGACATAAAACATGTAACGGAAATATATGAAGCGTCTCAAAATGGTAAAGTCATATGAACCTCAAAGTGTTTTTTTGTTTTAGTTTTTGGGATATAAGTCTCAAAATGTTTGCGTGGCATTACTAAATTAACCCAAAATGTGTTTTTAACTCATTTTGCGTAGTATGACAAAATATATCTTTATCATTTTCTTATATAGCGACATATCTGTTGCTTTTGTCATTTAGGATGTCATTGTTTCGTATCATTTTCTTACGAACTAAAAAAGCAATGCCGATGAGAGACTAACACAGCCAACAACTAGGCTTTATATAGATACCGAAAAAGGTAGTAACAAAAAAGGTTACAACTAGGCTCTTTCTATGATTAACTATTGAGTAAATCCCAAGTAATACCATAAACAGAGAATCAACAACATATTAAAAATTTTCAAGGAAAAAACGCATCAATTCTGTAATTTGATTCTTACTTGGATAGTTCTTTTGTAAATATGAAATCATCAAAAAAAGAATATTTAAGCTGAATCTCATGAAACCGGTTAGATGCATAGTGCGTAAAGCATGTATAAATCCGGTTATTAAATAAGTTATATTAATTGAACATTTAATAATATGCCTGGTCTTTTTTCAGTCTTTGTCATGGGTCTCGCACTCTCACCACGCGAATAATATACCTTGCTACCTTTTAATTTTCCCGGGCAAAATTGTTTCAACTGTCGGTATTATGTTCCACGTGTCATAATCTGATTACTCCAATAAGATCGTACGGTTATAAGCTCGCCGACATGATAGTCACAATCACACACCATAGCAAGACTTTGGCAACGTAATACCAGTCTCGACCATTCTCGTTCTGCCACGTCACATGATCTGGCAACTTCCACAATCACACCACATACACAACGTGGAATTCGTCGCTAATGATTTTTTTGTTCTTTCCGTTTTAATAATGAATTTTATAATTATACTTACCTAATAAATATCGTCACCTAATAATTACCTCTTTTTCGGAAAAAATAATAATATTTGAATTTGTTTATTTTCGCCTGCCTGTTGCAAAGTTCGAACGCGAACTCTCCGCGGAATTCGGTTATTGTGGACTTTTGGGGAATTGTTCTTGAGCGAGCGAATACTTAGGGTTTCTGATTCCTCGGGTTTTTTGGAATCCTTTCAAGTCAAAGCAAAGTGTTTGATGTAAGTCAAGAGTTTTTCGTATTATCGATTTTTCGTTTTGGGGTAAATTTGGTCGCATTTATCTACACAATTTTCGTTTTATGTTGATCGAATCTCATAATTTGGTTTTGGCTTCGCTCTTTCCATGTATTTTGTTATTGTTGCGAATCAGATTCTGTGTTTTCTCTGGCTTTTAATCCAATTGGATTCACCTGTTCGTGATGTTCTGGGTTTTTATAAATTTTTCTGGGTTTTATGAAAATTCTGGGTTTAATTAGATTTTGATTCCGTATTGGGTTGCTACATCTTGGAAAATCTGAGGCTATTGTTTCGTTTATCGTGATTGGTGTTTTTACGACCCTTACTCCATAAGTTCTGAAGTACGTTACATATGAAGCTCTTGATTTCAGTCTTTAATCATTAACTTATATGTTAGATAGATTAAAAAATTCCATGCCTCTAGTAGATTTGTATGTTGCGACATTACCATTTGCTTCATGGCCATATATATCTCTTTAAGCATCTTAGATGTTTCTGCTTTGGATTGCAGGACTTGGAATTCTTATTCTTTCGAACTTTTGCTTTTCTTTACAGATCTTTTGACGACATACGTTCTTGCTGTATTGTAACTTAGCCATCTGCTCGGGTCCTTGGACTTTGAACAACTATTATGTTCTTCCCTGCCTTCATTATATAGTAAGGCAGGGTTTGAACTAAAAGTGAGATGGATATCTCAGCACTTTTAACGTCTGCTGGGATTAATATAGCGATATGCGTAGTGCTTGTATCGCTCTATTCGATTCTGAGAAAGCAACCAGCCAATTATTGTGTTTACTTTGGCCGAATGCTTTCTTGCGGAAGAGTTAAACGTCATGATCCTATTTGGTATGAGAGGTTTGTGCCTTCTCCAAGTTGGCTCGTGAAAGCTTGGGAAACTACTGAGGACGAGATGTTGGCCGCTGCTGGTCTTGATGCCGTGGTTTTCATCAGGATGGTCATTTGCAGGTTAGTGATACTTTCACCAAATACATGCTTTTCGGTTTACTGTAATTGAATAGACAAGCATGGTGTTCCAGCACTTATTTTATTTCTCTGCGGTGTTTGCGTATGTTTCGTTTTTCACAACTCTCACAGTTGGTTTACCTTTTTGTTTACTCTGCAGCATTCGTATTTTCTCTGTTGTTGCAGTCGTTTGCATTGCCTTTGTGCTGCCTGTTAATTATTATGGACAAAAGATGGTGCACAAGGAAGTCCATCTGGAGTCATTGGGAATATTCACAATTGAGAATCTTCATCAACGCTCAAGATGGTAAAGTAGCGGCATATATCTCTCTAATATGCGTAGCCTATTTATTTCTTCCTGATTATGTTCTCTGTACAGAAAAAGCAAAGTGCTGATATGGCTTTACATATTTTTATTTCCAGGCTGTGGGTTCATTGTCTCTCGTTGTACATCATATCCTCTTCGGCATGTGCTCTTCTTTACTTTGTGAGGATCTCATACCTTGATTCATGTCTCGCGTACTGTTTCTCTTTGTTCCATCGTTTCCTCATCGTTTTGGTCTCTCTCTCTCACTCTGGTTATACGTGTTCGCCGCTGTAGGAGTATAAGAGCATAGCCAAGAAGAGGCTTGCATATATTTCTGGATCTGCCTCAATGCCTAGTCATTTTACCGTTCTAATGCGAGCTGTTCCTCAGTCTCCTGAACAATCGTACAGCGAAACAGTGAACAAATACTTCACAAATTACTATGGACCAAGCTATTTGTCGCACCTAATGGTCTACCGTGATGGCATCATTCAGAGACTGCTGGTATGCGTTTTGATTTATGTTGACTTGATTATCAATCACTTGTCTTTTTGTTTTGTTGTCTGTCGGATTAGGAATGAATTATTCAGCTAATACCTCCTTGAGGTTGACCTTCGAAGAATAGGACTCTCTTAGAATAGAAAAAGAAAGCTGTTATTGCTCTTTGTCCCGGAAAGTCATTTCACGTTTTACATGTTTCTTTCTCTTTTTAAAGTTTCACTGTAACCTTTCCTGGTCTGAAGTATACTCTGTTTCTTGGATGTCATAAATGCTTCTTTTTTTGGCAATGGCATCAAAGATTGATGAAGTAACAGAACAACAACTTGTTAGAAAGACTTATTTATATACATCAAAGATATAGGAAGTCCAGGGGATTATATCCGATATTGAGGTTCTTTTGATATTACATCATTTTCTTGTTGGATATCTGTCAACATTTTGAATGGAAAGAAATTTTCTTGTTGGGATTACATCCGATATTGATGGTGTGTGCTCATGGTAACTTATTGTTGATGTACAGTGGTCTATTTTGGAGCATAGTTGAGTTGATTATATTCTAATCCTAATCGTGTCAATTTTCTATCTCAGAGTGATGCAGAGAGGATGTGTCAGGCTATAAAACATGTTTCTCCTGATTTAAGTTGTAATCCGAGTACAAAGTCATGCACCTTTTGTGGACCTGCACCCACAAATTCTTTTCAAATTCTTTCTAACGAGCCAGACAGTGTCAGAAAACTGGAGCTTGGTGAGTTAACTTTGAGTACGACGGAGGAGGTAAGGAATTCTTTTGACTTTGATAGGCGAACTTTGTACTTTACATGATCTAGGCATAGTGTGTGGTTTCTCCTGTTGCATGTCTTCGCAGTTTTACACATGAGCCTCAAAGATTGAATTTTTTTTTTAACTTAAGACACAAATGAGCTTTAGAAGTTGAGTCTCAGGGAAAAAAAACCGCACATTGAGAACTTCAATGGACCTGACTAGGTGATACAAAGAGTTTTTAACTTTTAAAGGCCACAAGTAAAGGAAAAAATCTCCGTTCGTGGCTTGTAATTGAGATTTTAAAATCTGGATTATTCAGTTGAAGTAGGACTGTATTTGCAAACCATGCTTTGTTTCCCAGTTTTGTGTTAGAGGCTTGAAGTATCAGTGCTTGAAATATGTATGTAAGGCATTAAGCTTTTCTGCTCATTTGCAGGAACGTCCCGTTGCTTTTGTGTTTTTCAAGACTCGTTATGATGCTCTTGTTGTTTCGGAGGTTCTTCAAACACCAAATCCTATGTTATGGGTGGCAGACTTAGCTCCAGAGCCTCATGATGTTTACTGGAAGAATCTCAAAGTACCTTATCGGCAACTTTGGATGCGAAGAATAGCTACCCTTGTTGGTGCTGTTGCCTTCATGTTTGTGTTTCTTTTTCCTGTTGCCTTCATTCAAGGGTTGACGCAACTACAAACGCTATCTAAGAATTTTCCTTTTCTAAGAGACCTCTTGAAAGAGTGAGTATCCATCCGTTTCCTAACCCGCTCAGTACTAAAAGGTTTCTGTTCGTATTCTTCTTAATATGGCTTAGAGATGGCACCAAAAAAGTAGGTGTAGCTACTTTGCTTTTAGAAAATTGCAAGAGGCCTATATTGGGAGCTGCTAAGCAGTTGATATCTTAATATATATGTATGTAAAAGAGCAATAAACGTCTATGTAATTGATTTGTTTTTGTCATCTTTTAACTCAATCATCCCTTTGAAAACATTGCAGGAGGTTTATGGAACAGGTCATCACAGGGTACTTACCAAGTGTGATATTGGTTCTATTCTTTTATGCCGTTCCACCACTGATGATGTACTTTTCAACCTTGGAGGGATGCATTTCTCGGAGTAAGAGAAAGAAAAGTGCATGTATCAAAGTTTTATACTTCACCATCTGGAATGTGTTCTTCGTCAATATTCTATCAGGCTCTGTAATCAGGCAGTTGAGCGTCTTCTCTAGTGTGAGGGACTTACCTGCACAACTTGCGAAAGCATTACCTGCACAGGTTACTTTCGCAGTTCTCCTTTTACACTTTTTAGTGTATTCATTTTTTCCCTCTAAAATGTTGAGAAATTTCTACCGCCACATGTACATTTCATGGTTTCATTTGTGCACTAGCAGTGAGCTCTCTCTCTCTCCTAACATCCTTTAGCTTTACAGCTTATCTAAGATTTTTGTAATCCTCCATTTGATTGTAAACGGTGTACCTTTAGGATACATTGGCTATGGAGTTTGCACAAATCTTGTTATTTTCTATCTTTAAAATGCGATCATTGACTATGTGCAGGCTGGTTTCTTCATGACCTACTGTTTCACGTCTGGTTGGGCTGGTTTGGCATGTGAAATCATGCAACCTGTGGGTCTTATCTGGAATCTTATAGCAAAAGTAATTATCAAGAACAAGGATGACTCATATGCAACACTTAGGTTTCCTTACCATACCGAAATTCCACGACTACTTTTGTTTGGGCTCCTCGGTTTCACCAATTCGGTCATAGCGCCTCTAATACTGCCGTTCTTGCTGATCTACTTTTTTCTCGCATATCTTATATACAAAAATCAGGTACGAGTGCTTGCTTCTTGAAATATGATTAATGAATTTGTGCTAATGGTAATGCCAGGAGCATAAGGTAGACCATTTCTATGGGTCATTTGGACGGACACTTTTATCTTGACGAATTTTTTTTCCTTTTTGCAGATCATTAACGTCTATATTACAAAATATGAAAGCGGTGGACAATATTGGCCTGTTTTTCACAACACTACAATCTTTTCATTGATCTTGTCGCAAATTATAGCTCTGGGATTTTTTGGTTTAAAGCTATCAACGGTTGCCTCAGGTTTCACCATTCCATTAATTTTTCTCACTCTTCTGTTTAGCGAGTATTGCCGGCAGAGGTTTACGCCCTTATTTCAGAAATATCCAGCCGAGGTATACGAATTACCCTTTTTGTTCATAACCACAAATTTGCATCTCTTGGGATCTTAACGGGTGAATTTCTTTCAGGTCCTTATCGCTATGGACCGAGCAGATGAAGTCACAGGGAAGATGGAAGAGTTACATAACAACTTGAAAGCTGCATACTCTCAAATACCATTGTGTTCTCAAGAATCGAGCAAAGCTGGAGAAGGATGCAGTCCCCCTTGCTCAGAACAGGAGTTACCAGATTCTGAACAACTCAAGCCAGAGAAAGATGATCTCGAAGCGGATTATGAAATATGGGGGTTTCGCAGAAATAAATCTATTCATGAACTTGAGGTGAAATCTTGTCCCAGCGGTTCACCTAGTCGTTATTCCCCAGGATTTGCCGAGATGTACAAACGAACAACATAGATACTTGAAAAGCCAATTTCCATTCCAGCTCCAAAAAGAGCATCCGGAAGAATAAAGTGTTTGCGATTGAGTTACAACAATTTTAGCAGTTGAAAGAAACCCTTATGGGTGATGAAAGTAAGAAGTGGGGGAAGCCATAGAAACATATATACATTTCTGCCTGCTACAATGAAAATGTGAATTTTATAGTTACTGCAGGACGAAATGAGTCTATGCTCGGTTACTTTGTGTACAAAAGACGATATTTTTGCTCTTTAGTCAGTGATATTACTAAATAGAAAGAAAAGAGCTTTGTGTTTCTGTCCATATACGCAAAAATGTTCTTCACTGGTGTGTATATACAGCTTTAAAATGCAGAGTAATTTCCTTGTGGGACAAGGTTGAAGATTGGTTTATTATCAGAGTTGATATCTGTAATCCATCCATTGTTGTGTTCAATTAGTCCTATCTGAACGCAGTGTCTGGCAGACGGATTCATCCCCGGTTTTATATATCAGAAATATTACATGAGGCCAAATCTTTGGTTAAAGTTGGGAGTAAAGCTTGATCAAGCCAATGTTAGATCTTACCTTTTGTCCTGATATGTGTTATCCACATTAATTTCTTTCTCTAGTATCCGAACAGAGTACTAGGAAGAAGAGTGAGTTCGACGACAAGCAAAAGATCTGAAGGATTAGATCGAGGGTTAAAGGAGTCGATGAGATGTTGGACATGCAAGGACATTAAAATTGCTTCGCGAATTGGCTGGCTAGTGATGTAACAGTGTAATGTATCTAAGCATCTAATAGATTCCCTACTAGTAGAGAAAAACATTTTGTCTGATTATATATCATAAAGATCACAAGGAACAAGACTTGTTGCTTCAAAATGAAGTCCTACCAAAAGCAATGTGAATTTCGTTGGCCAACCAACCAATTCAGACCAAAAGAGATGCTGGTCTGAATTGT